CATTTCTTAATGGTAAGTACAATATTAATTAGTTAGTTTGCCTATATTAAGTGATTGGAGGAAGCACGTAGACATACATCCAAACACACACATGTATATTTTAACACTCAAAAGATTGGGTCAATTTATATGGTTCCTTAAAGATTTTCTTGCTCCATTATGTAATTCTATCTCACTTTTTCTCTTCCCAGACACGCCATGATCAATTTAATTAACATCATGTTGGAATTTCAGAGCCTTAGCCTTATAAAGCTTTAATGGAAAGTAACATTTTTTTTTGCACTTATTTTAAATTTTAAACAGGTGAAATTCCCTTGTCTCTTTTCAATATTTCTTCATTGAGAGAAATAAATTTAGGTCGAAACAATCTACAAGGTAATATCCCAATATCAATTGGTACTGGGCGTTGCTTGAAAGATTAGATTTAAGTTACAACTCCTTTACAGGTACGCTTATTTACCCATCTTATAATTTTTTTTTTCAATGTGTAATTTTTGGCTGAAATATTCTTTTGATTCTCTAATTTTATATAAAAATGAGACTCATTTTATTCTAGGTTTAACATTAAAATTAAAAGAAAAATAATTGCTTAAAATAAAATTAAATATATATTCCCATTAATTAATTAATTCTAATCCAGATAATTATTAAATTCAACAAAATTTAATTTAGCATGGTTAGGATTATTGTCATTATAATATTAATTATGCTTTTTCTCATTTTTAATTTTCAATAGGTGAAATTCCATCGTCTCTCTTCAACATTTCTTCATTAATGGTAGTGTCTTTAACAAGAAACAATTTAAAAGGTAGACTTCCATCATCCATCGGCAATTGCACGTTGTTGGAATATTTATATCTAGAACAAAACTCCTTAACAGGTATGCTCAATCTACTCAGTCATTAATTTTATTCTATAACAAAATTCTATTCATCATATAATATTATATAGGGAAAATTAATATGTAGGTCTTGTAATTTCGATTTATCATAAAATTTTTTCTATTATATATGTCCATATGGGTGAAAGCAAAGCTTGTTTTATATTATCTCCAAAATTTCTAATTGAGAATACTTCAATTCCCTAAATCAAAATAAAAAAAAAAACGTTTACGCTTTTATCTTGTTGCAGAATCATTTTTCTATAATCAATAATAAATCAGAACGTTTAATTGACGAAAAGAAGCTGCACAGTACAGGGATTCTTTTGAAAATTGCATGACAAAAAAAAAAGGCATTTGGATTATCAAGAGAGACTACCCTAAAATATAGGCTTAATAAGCAAGGCATATGGATTATTAATAGTATGTAATATCATTAATTATCCTTTTTTATCACGCTTTAAATTTTAAACAGGAGAAATTCCATCATCTCTCTTTCGAAGTTCTTCTTTAAGAGAAGTGTATTTATCAGAGAACAGTTTAAATGGCAGTCTCCCAATGTCAATTGGAAATCAGACGATGGTGGAATATTTATATCTTGATTACAACTCCTTTACAGGTATGCTCAATTTACTCATATCCATCAATTTTATGCTTTAACAAAATTCCATTTATTATTTGAAAAGCACAGTTCTATAGCATCGCCAAATTTCTTGGTGAAAATACCTTCAGTCCTTAAATGGAAATAAACGTTTTAGTACACTTATATCTTCTAAAAGAATCATTTTTTTTTTCATAATCACTAGTAACTTAAGGCTAAAAGTTGTTGCTTATGCAAGGTAAAAAAAAAAAAAAAGAGTACAAAAAGATTCAATCCATTCACACAGAGACAGGCAGACAGACAGACAAAGGGAGTTTATAGTTTATTCATGCATACTACATAGACCAAAAAGCCACAAGTGTGCACACAAACACGCACCAAATTTGCAAGATATATGGCAAATGATCAGGTCATCTTAAATTAGTAAAGAAATTCAAAAATTGTGTGTTTTTTTCACAGGTGAAATTCCTCAATCTATTTTCAACATGCCTTCTTTGATAGAGGTTTATCTTTCCAACAACCATTTCAATGGTAATTTGCCAGAAGAGATATGTCAAGCGCTCTCTTCACTTGAAGTCTTTGTGGTTGTTAATAATCATTTAGAAGGAAACATTCCAAAATCAATAAGTAATTGCTCCTCTTTGCTAGCCTTGTTTTTGGATATGAACTCATTTTCAGGTATGCTCTATATTATACTCACCCTTCTCTCTCTCTCTCTCTATATATATATATATATGAGTTTGTGTGTGTGTGTGTGTGTGTTTTTTTCCCCCCCCTCCTAACTTGATCATTGATATATATGAAACGAAATGATAGTAAGAATCAAAATTTAACTTTTTAAACATTATACTCATAAATTTCTCCACATTACTTTCAAGAAGCTTAAAAAAAAAAAGGACGTGCGATCTTGTATTAGTGTCTTTATTATGACATTAAAATTTGAGACACGAATTGCACACTATTCATTTGTCGTTTTATTAATTGTTCTCAAAAGCTAGGAGGTCACTAACTTCATAGATGGATATGAAATTTGGATTCCCCACTTTAATGTATGGGCTAATAAGCATATCAAAAATTGGGAAGAACTCAAAATTAATAAGATATGTAGATTTTTTTTTCTTGTAATATAGAGAACTGGACTCAGATTTTTGAAACATGATTTTTGTTATATACAAAACATATCACCTGTTTTTTTTTCAATTTTTTCTATATTTTATTATGAAAAATGCTATCATCCATTAGTTTTTTTGGGGTTTATAATTATCCAACACCTTTTCGTTTCTAGGATTTATACCCAAGGAGATAGGCAATCTTGATAAGCTTGAAGAATTGGATTTCTCATCTAATAATTTCAATGGACCCTTTCCTTCCCATATATTCAACATTTCCACATTGACATTTCTCTCCCTGGAAAATAATTCCTTCTCTGGTTTTCTCCCATCAAATTTTGGAATTGGCCTTCCCAACCTGAATAAATTGCAGTTGGGACATAATCAATTTATTGGACAAATTCCAAATAGCATCTCAAATGCTTCTGAGCTCATCATGTTAGATTTGCCAGGTAATAAATTTAGTGGAGTTATACCCAATGTACTCGGAAATCTAACAAAACTGATAGCATTATATCTTGATGGGAATGATTTGAATGGGCCGATTCCAAATACAATTAACAGATTGCAAAGCCTTCAACATTTAAGCCTCAGTAACAACAGATTGCAAGGGCCGATCATAAACGAATTGTGCCAAATCAAAAGTTTGAGCGAGTTGTATCTAGCCAACAACATGTTTTCAGGAATGATTCCAAGGTGCCTCACAAATACTTCTTTGCGAAAGTTGGATTTTAGCTCAAACAAATTAATTTCTCATGTACCCATTTCTCTTTGGAGTCTTGAAGATATTTTGGTCTTAGACTTATCCTCCAATGCATTGAGTGGAAGAATTCCTCCCGAGGTATCAAACTTGAAATCAATTATAGTCTTGAAATTGTCAAGAAATCAAATTACAGGAAACATTCCTACAACCATGGGTGGCTTGCAAACTTTGCTAAACCTATCTTTGGCTCACAACAAATTACAAGGGCCTATTCCTGAATCACTTGGTGGCATGGTAAGCTTGGAGTTCTTGGATCTCTCTCAAAATCACTTGTCTGGTTTGATTCCAAAGTCATTGGAGTCACTTGTCTATCTAAAATACATTAACCTTTCATATAATTTGTTGCAAGGGGAAATTCCAAATGGTGGGCCTTTTGAAAATTTTACATTTGATTCGTTTATGATGAATAAAGATCTTTGTGGAAAGTCCCAACTACTAGTCCGGCCATGTAGAAAAGGAAATATACATAACTCAAGTAAGGTTATGTTGTTGTTAGAATGCTCATTGCCTGTCGTGGTTGTCATTTTTGTTGCTTTATGCATAATCCTTATTATAATAAAGCATAAGAGAGATCATGTTAATGATTCAGCCAACAAGGATTTAATACATTTTGAGACACAAATTAGGATATCCTATTATGAGCTTTTACGAGGAACAAATGGGTTTAATGAGAGTAATCTTCTTGGAAAGGGAAGTTTTGGATCAGTCTATAGAGCTGTTTTGCCAAATGGAAAGATGGTTGCTGTCAAAGTATTTAACTCAAGTCTAGAAGAAACATCAAGGAGTTTTGACACTGAATGTGCTACTTTGCGCAATTTACGTCATCGCAATCTCACTAAGATAATCAGTGATTGCTCAAATGGTGAATTTAAATCCATAATAATGGAATTCATGTCAAATGGGAGTCTTGACAAATGGTTACACTCTAATAACTATTATTTAGACATCCTACAAAGGTTGGATATTATGATTGATGTGGCAGCTGCTTTAGAGTATCTGCACCATGGTTCTCCTACACCAGTTGTTCATTGTGATATAAAACCAAGCAATGTATTGTTGGATGAAGATATGGTGGCTCACCTTAGTGATTTTGGCATTGCCAAATTGTTAGGTGAAGGACAAATGGAAATTTATACCAAGACTTTGGCTACGATAGGCTATATGGCACCAGGTAGTTTTTACACTAACATAATATTTATTATTTGATTTCTATTTAATTTTTACTATGTGAAATATTACATTATTCAATCACCAACAAATATGAACCATTCTAGTTCTTGACATATTACAGAGTATGGATCAAAAGGAATTGCTTCCATTAAAGGAGATGTGTATAGTTACGGTATTTTGTTGATGGAAATGCTTACAAGAAAGAAACCAACCAACGAGATGTTTGTTGAAGGTATGTGTTTGAAAGATTGGGTTTGCAAATCAACACCTCATTCAATTATCAATATCGTAGATGCCAATTTGCTGCCCAGTGATAGTCAAAATATTGACGGCATATTGTCACATATATCATCACTTCTTGAATTGGCCTTAGATTGTTGTTTTGATGTACCTGAAGCACGGATTAATATGGAAGATGTGGTGGTAATACTGAAAAAAACAAAGGCTCGTTTATCAAAAGCGCTAAGAGTTACACCACTAACTACTTGAATAATTGTTATTAAGTCAATTTTTATTATTGTAATAACATCCAGAAATGGAATGATGATGTTTAATTTTTTTGTGCTATTTCATATATGATGCATTTAAACTTTTATTATTGCAAATTTAGTGACAGTACATTTGAATTATGACGAGAACGTTAAATCCATTCTAATATTATCAAGCTCGTTAAGTTGATTATTGAACCAGTGGACTAGTTTATATTTTTAATATTTTAAAAAATATGTTGATTTTCTCAGACTTAATTATAGACTCATACTAGTGTTGATTTTCTCAGACTCGTGATTCACTCTGGTTAATGAAATATTTTCAAATTCAATTGTAGATATATGCATAGATCATATTAGACGACAATAAAGTAATGAGTACTATTTTCATAAAGATTTGGTAATCAAAACATGATTAAGAATCAGCATGAAGATTTCACTAAATTTTGAGTGAAAGAAAATATCATATCAAATAAAAAAAAATACAAATCAAATGTAAACTATAATTAATGTTTGTATTAGTTCTAAAATTTGACGACCAGGTTTACTATAATTAGATTACTTTATAGAGTTTGACTACCATTATGAATTGTAGTTAATTTAATACTTGCTAGTTTAGGTTCCTCAGTTACTCTCCAGTTTTAATCACCAACCCACCCTCACAAAGCATTTTACGTATTTGCCTATCGATTTAAGAAGAAAGAAAGAAACAATACAAAAACTTAAATCAAACTGATCAGTTTATAAACAAATGAGACTTGATATTTTTTAATATATCAGTTTGTGATGATGCATTAGTCACTTAAACACTTAATTAAACAAATACTGACTCAATATAGTATAGGTCAATCTTAAGCCCCCCTTTTTTCCCAAATAGTAAGGTATAGGTTAATTTAGTGCCGGTTCATTTTTTGTTTCAAATGTACTCTTTTAGAAAAGTATATTTGAAAGTTGGAAACTGCTATCAAAACATATTTTTAGATTGATTCGAGGTGTTAGTTTGATGCCTAAAATTTGTTCCTTCACTAAATGAAAATTTCCTAGACTTCAGCTTAATATAAAGACCAAAATATGAAAAATTCTAATATAAAATTAGCAGTGCAAAAGAGATGCCTTTAAAATGATAAAATGACTAATTAATGAAGTTGTGTTCTCTGAATTTTATATGAAAGCTATGCAATTATAACCTAAAATCAAACGGTAATGTAATGCAAGATGTTACTACAAATTTCTAATTATGGTTACCTCAACTTGCAAACAAGAATAGCCCAATTCAATATAAAATGAAGCATATACATAACAAAGGTATCTATGAAGTGATTGTGGATTAAAAAATTTGGGTTCAAACTACTTACTTTTAAGTAGATAGAAGGCATCTCACCGTTTTTAACTTTGCGCTTCTTGTCCATCAGGTAATATGTTTTCAATGCCATGTCATTAGATGTAGATGAAAAATAAGATATTGCAAAAAGTTAATTTTGTAAATAAAAAAAAAACAAAGCTTTAATTTACACAAATTAACTAACTCACATGTCAAACAAGCATTTCATCTATTGCTTGGGCCTTTAGCCGAAGAATTAAACCAGACGATGTTGTCCAAAAGGCAAAGAACTAGGCCTGTTCATCTGGCGTTTTTGTTCAGCTCAGCTAGGTCAAAAATTGCCCAGCCCAATCCAAAAAATAAAAAAAAATGACTTATGGACTGGGCTGGGCATTGGACAATATATGCTGCCCAAGATTTAGATATATATATATATATAGGTAATATGGACTTACATATTTTAGGGACGAAGACGGAAGAAGTTTAATCTTTGCTTTTAATATCTATTATTTATTTCTAGTGTATTGTAGAATCATTATATTTTCATGGAGAAAAATAATGGGCTTCTTGCATTTATGTAAAACTTTATCTCATAATTCATAGTGAAGTATAATATGTAGATCCTTATAGTTTTCCTCAATTTTAAATTAAGTCCATACAATTTATTTTATTTTAATTAAATATTTATAGTTTTATCCGTTATTTTTGTTAATTACTAGATGTTAAGGCCCTTGAGTTTTTTTTTCTTTTTCATCGACGTTGATTTTTGTGAACGCGCTTTCAATCTCATAATTTTTTTAACTACCAAGATTACCCTAATTAACTATATGGAAGTTAATCTTTTGCAAAATAAGATGATATACTTCGATTCACTGTATCAATGACATCGCAAATTGCTACTAAATGCTAAATTAATATTAAATTATTACGTTAATTTGTGCTTGCTTTATATCATGGATTCATGGTGAAAGATTGTATCCTTTAAATTCTTTTTTTTTTTGGGTAGTTAAAGCTCTTCAAATTATCTCAGGATATGTAGAAGAAAATATATTGGTATTTTTAAGCACCGAAAATATCTGTCTTCAACACCGAAAATAGTGCAATGAAAATGAAATGCGGTCTCCAAATGAAATTATACAACACGCAATTTTTAATGGGACAGACATATGAGCATCTGCTTTTTTTTTTTTTTTTGTATAAATTCTTCTTTATAGACTCAATTACCAATAAATAAAATAGTTTAGATGTTTTAAAAAATGGGTTGAATGATAACTTGACCCTTAAACTATAAGTCTGAGAGCATATGAGACACAATTATTGTCGTGCAATATTCTTCTAATTTTTAAAAATGGTGCAATACAATCTCTATCATCAATAAAAGTTTACTTTTACTTGATCAAAAAGTAAGAGAAAAGACTCAAAATTACAAATAGGACCTGACAGGAAAAACCGAGAAAATTTTCCTTGCTTTTTTTTTTCTTATTTTTTTATCAACTAATAATCAAAGTTAACTTTTATTAGTGATAGAATTACATTATATCATTTTCAAAATTAAAAAAAATTATTAAAAAAAAAGGTTTAGGATTCTAAACGCTCTTAGACTTGTCGTTTAAGAGTAAAATTGCTATTTACCCCCTAAGAAATTGATTTTAATTTTACTAATTTTTATTTTTTATTAATTTTGATTTTCTTAATGGGTGACTTAGGTACTAAATCTTATATATTTAATATACTTTTATCTAATCAAATTTAAACAAGTGAAATTTAATGTATTAATAATATTAATAACAAGAGTGTATTATAGAATAAATAATTTAGAGAAGATTCACATGTCTTAATTTAATTGTAAATAAATATATTAAATATATAAGGCTAAGTATATCAGTTTTTCTCCATTTTAATTTAGTTCAAATAATTTTCCACTTAGAATATATATTGGATCTAAATGGGTTTAGTCTATACATCAGTTAGGACTCATTTTGAGTCATTACATATAAGTTCCTACTCTCTCTCTATACATACATACATATATAGTGTAAAATTACAAAGAAAGAAACAAAAATGCCGCAGATATTAAATTATAGTTATGTAAATGAGGAGTATTTTGGTCCCAACATGTGATTTGACTGTAAATTAAATATTAGATCGATGGTTGAAAATAGAATATCTAAAATAAAGAGGATGTATATAGGTTAAAGTATACTTTTATCTTCTAATTTTATATATTTTATGAAATATTTTTTTAGTCTTTTAATCCTAAAATTGTTAATTTTAAATAATTATTTTTGATGTCAATTATTATTATAAAAATTAAACTTAATATGTCAACATTTGAGAATATTTTATTAATATTTAAAAATTAATATAAATTTTTTTATGATAAAACTAACGGTATTAAAATTAGAGGACCGAAAATATATTTTATAAAATTAAGAGATCAAAATAAAATCTTATGCAAAGTTAAATGAGTGAAGGAATACTTTAGCCAAGTATATATTATGTAATTTTTGGTTTCAAAAGAGGCTTCCATGGATTTTGAAAATGGAAAAAAAGTTACTATAAAAAGATAAATTATAAAGATGTTAGCGTATTTTACTATAAAAAAGTACTCATTACGTTAATCTTTACCTTTTTTTAAAGAAAATAACAATTAGGGACGATAAAAATAATAATGATAATTATAGGTCTTGAATTTTTTAAATTTCAATAACAAATCATGATCCTTATTTATAATAAATTATCTTTTGTTAATTGACTTGATATTTACAATAGATTTTTATAAATTTTCAACTAACGCTACAAAATTTTCAAGTATTTTTTATTGCTTTCCCAAGCGATAGCTAAAAGTTAGAAGTAATTGAATTTTAATTCACAATTGACCCTCATAAATTTCAAATAATATTACAAATAATTTTAAGTATATTTTATAAATTTTTTAAGCAATTTATCTATATATTGACAGAAAAAATTACAAGTGATTAGTTTATCATTCACAATTAACTTTCATAAATTGCCAACTACCTTTATAAATAATTCCAAGTATATTTTTATGATTTTTTAAGTAATTTATTTATATATTGATAGCAAAAAATTGATATTTATAATTGAATTTTATAAATTTTTAATTAACGTTACAAATAATTTCAAGTATATTTTATTAATTTCTTAACTAAATATTTATATTTTTTTAATTGTAAGTAATGACCATATTCTGTTAAATTTTAATAATTCATGATTTATAATTATCTTTAATGTTCTTATGTGATCATTAATTGTCATTTTCTTTTTTCTTTTAATATATCATGTTTCAAATTATTTATTTCTGTTAGTTTCTGTCTTCAAATTCTTAGTTTGCGTCCCGAGATTTAAGCAACGAAAATATCTTGTCTTCATGCCCATTTTTTCTACGCACTAATCAAATTGACCATCAAATCAAATGGAGAAATAATGCTGAATTATGGTCATTATCTGAATTTTTCTTTTGACAAATTAGATGAAAGTGTTTCTTTTTCAGTTCCAATTCCGAGCTATACTAAACAGGTTTTCTACACGTGAAAGGACAAATGTATCCTCACATGCTTCTTTCTAATATTCTTTAGGGGTATCCATCACCTGCCAACTTTGACCACAAATGAAATAATAAAATTAAAGTAAATGAATTTTGTGGGCCGCCGAGGTTAAATTATATGACACGCAATTTTTATAGAACCAATTGCCAATAAATAAAAGATTTTTTGTTTTAAGAAAATAATTTCACA